GGAAAACGTAGTCAACGTTGGCATCTATCTACTCGTTCCAGCAGCAACTTGATTTGCTGTCATCTCTCGCACTGGATGTTGCACTGGAAAAGACTACAGTAAGTTCGAAGATGTGAAGATTCTGGTAAAGCGGTGCAGACTATGCGGCTCTCGCAGTTTTCCTGACATCATCCGCTGGTCGACGCCAGAAGCACTTGATGGGAGCTGTCGGCAGACGAAGCAGTGATAAGACGAACCACATTGACAAGGCACCAGTCGTAACCGCCAGTATGCTCAGATCAATGGAGAGTATCAATATACACGGGATGTCGATTCAATAGGGCGGCGCCATCCAAAAGACGCAACTTGGCCAGCTCGAATCCGCAACCAATTTCCAAGTTTTGTAGATTCTGATGATAAAGCTGTGTAATGTAGGCTTCTTTGGTATGATGTTCAGGCAAAGAGGCGCAAAAATGATGGAATGAACGGCATATATCTCGCAAATCCTCTCGCCAACCTCCACATTCGCTGCAATCTTCGCAGATGCTCGTCTTCTTCTCTATTCTCAACGCTCTTGCCGATCGATTTACCCAGCTTTTCCGATCTAGCCCCACCCTGGTTATCGAACTGGCTTACATCGGGTACCGAATACGGTAGCCTGGCATTGAACCTACTACGATTGAATTTGCTCATGAACAGAGTCCACCCTCGGAAAAAATACAGCATGTATGCTCATTCTGAGATCTGTTAGGTATGGAAATAGACCCAGTAGTAGTAATCTCTTACCTTGGGCGCATTCAGACCTTCCTCCTCGCATCAGGCCGCCGCATGGATGATTTTACATACAGCTTACTGTTGCCGGTTCTTATTTTAGACAATACGCTAACAACGAATACTGAGATGACGATGACGATGACTATAACGATGACGACTTTGTTATACCAACAGCTGCAAGAGCGGCGACACAACAAGGCGTCGCGGTAACTGTGTCGATGGGTGCCACGACCAGGCTGGGCCAGCATACAAAGCTACCGTAGTGCGGGTTTCCAAGTACCTAACCATGTACACAGTGCTGCAGGTAGGCTTCCTTATGTCGTTCTTCATTGGAACGCGCTAAGTCGCAAGCAGCATGGTGGTGCCGGTTGTTGGCTACCTATCTAGGTAGGTGCGTACACGGGCAGCTCGTCGGTACCGTACATATTATTATTATTATTATTATTATTATTCCATTAGAGTCCTTTTTCAGTCAGAGACTATGTAGGACTTTGGCTGAAGGCCGTTCTTTATAGGTTTTTTTTATCTACATGGCTTTCTGGTATGGTTTGCTATTGTGATTTTAGCTTTTCTTCAAAAAATAGCTCGTATTTGTTTGATGCCAGGTGCTAAGCAGCAGTTTAGTGAATAGAAAGAGATCTAGCAACGGGCTCTTATAGTAAAGGAGAGGTGTTACAGTTTTAGTTTTATACAATGTCTCTCTGTGGGTCTTCTAGTAGCTGTCCTAGGTACTACTTTTTTGTTCCTATCCTAGTACTAGTGATGAAAGCTAGAGTTGCTTCTATACCTATGCTAGTGTAGAGTAGTAGTGGTAGGGTGACTAGGCGCTGTTTAATTAGTTATAGGAGCGTTCTCGTTGTTCTTTGTATAGATGGCATTACAGTAGTAGGTGTTCTGGCGTTTAGATATTTCGGTAGCTATAGAGATTAGAGTCTCGTTTCTTGAATCTCTTTAGGTAGGAGTTAAAGTATCCGTGTCCTAGCTTAAGAGAGTAGAAAGCGCTAGAGATTACTCTTTTAGTGTTTAGTAGCATTTAGATGATTTTTCTAATCTTAAGAGGGAATTTTGTTGAGTAGGTAGCTTTATTTAGAGTAGTTGCTCTTTCTTTGTATTTCTAGTACTCTTAGCGTTGTTTAGTTTGTTATATCCTTTTAATTATCGTGCCTAGGTAGGTAGTCCTCTTTATTGTTGTTCTAGAGTCCTCTTTAGTTGCTTCTTTTACTAGGTAGTCTACTCTTTCGTTTCTAACTATATCTGTATGTCTAGGTGCCTAGAGTAGGTAGATATTTGCTTATTCTCGTTAGATTATTTTTGCTGCTTTTAGATACTAGAGTTGCTATTATTGTCCTAGGTTATCTAATAGGGTTTTAAGCCTATAGATTGCTGCTTAGTTATCTGTGTATACCTTGAATTCCTAGTTAGTTGTAGCGTTCTTTGCTGCGTATTTAAATGCTTATGTAACCCCTTCTAGTTCGCCGTTATAGACTAGCTAGTATTATCTAATATTAACTATTTCTAAGTAGATATCTTTCTAGGTTAAGTTATAGACTACTATCCTAACTCCTATTCCTTTTTCTTCTTGTGTTTGCGAGGCGTCTAAGTATACTATTATGTAATTGTCTAGCCTTATTTTAATATAAGCTTAGTATGTATTTGCCTCCTCTTCTTTAGACTTTTAAGAGACTTTTACGGTATAGTTTAGAGTATCCTATAGTCTAAACTAGTATAGGATAGTCTGCTCTATGTCTCTTTTGTTATTTTTAGGAATTAAGTTAGTAATAGTTTGTAGCTGTCTGTGCTAGTTTAGTTTCTTTAAGCGTTAGAGATTAGTTAAGTAGATCTAAGTTATTACCTTTCCAATTAGATAGGTGTTAGCTAGCAGGTTTGCTTTACTTGCGTAGTTCTAGATAGTTAAGTTAAGCCTGATTACTAGTAGTATCTTTATAGCGTAGGGTTGGTTTTGCTAGTATATTTGTGCTCTGTAGTCTAACACGCTAGTTACACATGCTAAGTATAGCTGTCTAATAGCGTGTGTTGATAGGCCAAGTTTAATGTTTACTGGTCTTTCTAGCCTATAGAAAGCTTGTTGTGATGGGCTAGACCCATGTATGCCTACTTGTAGGCTGAGAGAGAGAAGCGCAGTCATGCCTCCTACATAAATATCAACTACGCAAGCTGAATCGGGTTGATTCAACTTGTGCATGCCTTTTGCGCACGCGTGGTGCATGTAGTTGTGCCGCTAGTCTTATAGACTCACGCCCGTTATACTTGTCTAGCTTGGCTTACACGTATAGACACATATGATTTAAATAACAGACGGTTGTCTAGATAGATAACTAGCCACTTAACAGTGTCTTTGTGTTTTACCTAGCTGTTATTTAGGAGTATAAGGGCTCTTTCTATCCTCTCCTTCTTAGCGGTGAAGTAGATTAGCTCTGTTTTGGATGTGTCGAAGATAATGTCTAGCTGCTCTCCCTTAGCAAAGAGTGTAGCTATCTTTTTTTATAGTACTCTCGTACTTTTCTTTAGAGAGGTTAATAAGGTAGTAAGAGTTAGGTCTTAATTGTGATGGGCTGGAGCCCAGTTGGTGAATCCTCGATGATATCTCGGTCCGAACGACGCTCAGACCATCCGCACTATCCATAGGCAGAAGGTTATTCCAAGCCGCTCTCCGAATAACCTTTAGCACGAGATAGCTTGTAGTTCTCTTCCCCATCGAATACAACTCCAGTATACCTGTGCGATTGCTCCCTGAGTGTAGCTCCTTACAGCGTAGGTATCTTGCGATGTAATGTTTCGCTACTAATCATCGCGGATAACTACGCGTGCCTTACGCTTAAGTAGTCGATAATGCTTATTAAGTTTATAGGTGTATACCTATATATAGTCTAGGATTTATTATCCTATTTACTTAATTTTCATTATAAGAATCTTAATCTATAACTTTATCTAATAATAGCTCGCTAGATAAGACTATTCTATTTCTTTAAATAGCTCTCCTTTTACGTAGTCGTTAAGCTTAGTCTAATATATTAGTAAAGGTAGTAGCTAACTACAATAAGGCTTAAAGCCCTCAGCGAGCATTCTTATAATTATTGCCTTGTTCATTGCTACTCCTCTATATTCTTATGATAGTTGGGATGACACCGATCAGATTCGTTCAAGAGTGGGATCATTGATTGCTCTAAGGATCAGAAAGATCAGACGGCTGGTCCGGTATTTGTACATGATGGATCAGTCCCTTGGCACGGATCCGGAGTCTCAAAGACCCGATCCGATCACGTGATCATCCGACGTCCAACATCAAGTCCATTTCCGCGACAATTCTCTAACCTGTCTAACTTAGGTATCTACTATAAACGCTGCTACCTATAGGATAGCCTTAGGGATTCCTTATTAATCCTTCTTATTTAGCAATGCTCCTACTATTAGCCGCGTAAGCAACGCTGCGAGTAGCGGTATTGCTACAGGTGTTAGGTAGCTGTCCTAAATTTTCCTCCCTTAATAATATCCTAGCTAGTCGCCCTCGCTGTCCTAAGCGAGTGACTCCTCTAGTGGACTATCCTTATAAAAGGTCTCTATCTCTAGTTACTGCGTTAGTGTTAGCAGCTTAATAGTCCTTACGTGTGTCGCGATTTGTTTTAGCGTATTATGTATAAGGTTATCTATTAGGTCTTCTATTTTACTATTGAAGATTAAATATCTATTAAAGATTAAATATCTATTAAAGATAGCGTCTGTAGTGCTTATTACTTTAACGAGTAATAGTATCTAACTAGGTATCTAATCTATGCCTTTAGGTCGAGGCGCTATAGACGAGACTTTTCTCTATAGATGTTACAGTCGGGTGACAAAAAAAAGAGACTTTTTAAAATTTATCGTTTTCTTAGCTCTATATCTAAAGAACTAGACTTGCTAGACTAATATTTTTTAGTTCTCTAGAAAGCTAAGAGCATTATCTGTAAGATAGGTCACTGAAAGGTATGCTAAGTAAGCGTACGTCTACGTAACTCTAGTAGTATTTAATAGTAGAAAGAAGTAAGCTATAAATCTAAGTAACATGATCCATGGGCGAGCGGCGCACACAGGCGAGCGGCGCACCCCACCAACTTTTGCAACTTTAAAGCGATGCATCTCAGCAACGCGATAATATTATTGCTAGATATTAATACAGTAGATTACTCTATATCAATAGTATCAGTCTTGCATGTGCGCGAGTTGTGCCCAGTCTCCTTGCACCTAGTGCAGCGCCTTTGAGCCCGCTAGTTGAGGCCTAATCGCGCTCCTCCTTGACGCTCTTCATGAGCAATCTGCTGGTCAGCCTCATTTTGAGCCAGTATATCCTCTCTAGCTCCCTTTATAAGTACTCTATACTTCTATATACGCCTTTTAGAGCGCCGCCTACGCTCTAAGGCTGCGCTGTTAGCCTTCTTAAGACTAGAGATCTAATCGCGCATTAGCTTAGCAGAGAGCATTATCACTTCGGCGCCCTTCTGTAGCTAGTTAATCGCTATAATAATTAAAGCTAGTGATAAGCTCTTATGCTAGCGCACGCGCTCACGTATTAGGCTTAACTAAGCCTTAAGCTCATGCGCGTTGCTCGGCGTTTGAGCTACCTAGGGAGCCTCTAGCAGAGCTGCTAGAGGAGTAGGTGTACGCAGTTGTACATCTACCTTTAATAGAACAGCCTCTAGCTGTAGAGGAACAAGACCTGCACCGCAGAAGGCTAAGCAGATATTAGCTAGCGTAAACGCTTAATTAAATGCTGCCTTAAACGCTAGCAGAAACTCTAGCTTAGTAATGTGGTTAATGTAGTTGCGTATAAGGCTCTCTACCTCACAGCTGTACGCGCGCTTTAATAGCAAGAAGCAGCCAACATTAAGTGGCTAGAGTAGGTGAGATAAGTAAGGAGGCATACAAAGCGTATAGATATTGGTCTCCTTGCAGAGCTCCTGGAACTCTAGAGATTGGTGGCTCTTATGGCCATCAATAATAAGCAGGCGACGCGCGCCTACACTACGAGCCTGCGTGTGAGCGTTAAAGTGCTTTAGCCACTCAACTCTAAGCTTATTATTCGTCTAGCTGTTATCGCTAACTGCGATCGCCTAGTCGCGTGGGATCTTAGCTTCCTTATAATAGGCTAATAAGTAGTACTAGCTAGCGAAGATAAGGAATAGTGAGACTAACCAGCTAGCAGCGCTAATAGCAGCGATTAGCGTTACCTACTCTCGATTGCCTAGCTAAATACTCTTCGGCCTACCTCTCCTCTCTGCTCCTGTTATAACTAGCTGCGTTGTAATCTTGCCTATTATAAAGCTAGCTTTATTAAAGTTGTAGACGTCC